ATGGCACCGTCCGTGAGGTTGCGCGGATGGAAATCCCAGACATGCACGACTAGTGGGACTGGAAGATTTACTTACATTGACACCGACCCTAATGTATGTAAATATGCCAGTCCCATGGAGTGTTTGGGAATGGATTTGTTGTTTTTCTCTTGGGCGAACCCATATTCTGCGATTTTGCAGGGCCAGATTGAGGGAGGCGATCTGGAAGAAGGTGTATACTCTTATACTCAGTGTACTCGAAGTCATTCATTCGATCGGAGACCTTGATACCAGTTGGCTGGATCGGCCCATGGCCGTATGGGTTGGATGAGCTACCAGTTCTCAAATAAGATTGGTTTCTTTTACTGACCAGTGGCCAGGTTCCCCTTACAGGGTCCAAACTCCACCTGTTGGTCCCGCTATGTGTTTGTAATATTATGTCTTTCTTTGCTGACAAAGAGTTGTGTTTAAGTTTATATAAGTATATATATATATCATCTCCGAATCATCTCCCTTCAACCCCAACCACACTGCTTGTTCGTTGGGACTCATGGAACGTCTAGCCTCGCTTCGGATGTGAGGGCTCGATCACCCGGTGACTTCGCTCGACGCTGGCCGTCCGACCGCCACCGAGGCCGACTTCGCTTCGTTGGGATCCATAGGCGAAGCCACCGTTCGTGTGTGTCCGGATTGAACGGTGGCGGGCGCTGGCGCGCGCGCTGGCGCGCAGCGCCTACCCCGGACTCGCTTCACTGAGTTTGCAGGAGAAACTCTCGGGAGTCTGGAGTCGGTCAGAGAACGGGCCTTTTCCTTTTCAACCTTCAAGCAGCAGACGGCGTGAGACAGCACGAGCACGCACCATGTGAGCTTTGGATACAAGAAGGCTCTAGACTCTACTGTATAACACTGTATAACGACCGGATCGGTGAGACTTTACTGATCGCTCGTCATCTCACCGTTCACCAGTCCTGAAACCCCGCTTGTTGGGGATGTTGCTTTTTATATCAAAACGGGTCGAACATGTGGACAGACCAATGATGATACCATGTTATGATTTGAATAATACTGCATAACTATGTATAACTTAAGCAGTGTGTACTTGGGTTTTGCATGGTATTTATGTTGTTTTTGTGTTGGTGTCCTTTGTTTGAGGGTTCTACCACATGACCGAACGCAGACAAACTGAATCTATAAGAAACTGTTCATTCACCATCCATTCAAGTGGACAAACAATCACTAAGCATGTTCTTCTACATGAAAATCCGGAAACTAAATTGGCTATTGCCTGAAGGGCGGCAGCAATCATGTTTACCGATGACCGTGCCAAGATCAGCCTTTCTTCCGAACGAGTCCCTCGTGACTCCGCCAGGGCACCCGGAGCACTGCGCTTGGGCGTGTCGCTTCATGAAGCGTCCCCAGGGCTGCCACCACAAGGTGTGGAGGGTGGATTGCCCCCAAAAATGGCTCAGGGATGAGACGTGGGGATCACTCGAAGAACGGAATATGTCGTTGTTTGAAAACGAACACAGGGAAGTTATACTCTTAAACGAATTAAGCTTTTTGACTCTTTGACCGTGGTATTTTCTTCAACATCCCTTTGTTGATGTTTGTTTGTTTTAGAGACAATATAACTGCCACACCTTTGCGTGTCTAGCTTTGAACTCATCAACTTGGTAGATTAACAACCGGATTTAGGAGGCCCAGGGCCTAGGGCCTGAGCTAGGAACCACCCGCAAATACATCTCATGTGGTTCTGCTGTGAAGAGCTGTCGTGGTAGCTTGCGTTCGAGCTGTGCGGGACTGCATCGTGGCCATGAGGCTGCGTGCCCCCGATGCCATCTTTGCACCTGGTCAAAGGCAGGCCGTTTCATGCGACCTGTGCCCTTCACGTGTCGTTCACCTGCTCAACTCGTTCACCTCCATCATGGTGGGACACCGTGGGTGCCGTGAAGACGTTCTTTTTATGGCGCTCGACTCTTATAGATCCCCGTTTGAAACCTGAGCTCGGGCCCCACAAGCCTGGAACAGTAGAGACCTGGCAGTGAGGGTGCTGGTAGAGGGTTTGTCATTTGTTCCACTTCCATACTTTGATCAAACTCAAGGTCCCTAAGAAGTCCAAAGACAAAGTAGAGGAAGTTCCTCTTGGGATCACCCAAAGACAATTTTAAACGAGTCGTGAACTCCGAAAATATATTATAAGTTACATCATCAATAACAAATGAGTGAACTCACCATTGTGCCGCACTTGCCAGCGCTTGACCACTTGTGGGAGTCTAGTAGAATGCTTTCGAGTCAATATAGGAGCAATGCTTTGCAAGGGTAGCAACTTGGCTATCAGTTTGGTTCTCTTGGTCATTGTCAAAGGGTGGCTCGTTTGGGACACTTGGAGGTACAAACACATCTAGAACCAACTATCCCTTCCATCCATGTATGGAATGGTTACGTGCATTAGAGTATTTAGATTCATAAATGTGGTAAATGCCTATTCCAGTCCCATGGATGCTTTGGGTATGACCCAGGCGTCTCGCACCCGGCCCACCTGTCGGAGTCGCACCCTGACCCAGGCGACTCGCACGCCGATGCCCCAAGTGACTCCTTCAGGCCACCTTGAAGATGGAAGCTGCAGCAAAGCTCCTGCAGCCGATGCCCCTTCTACCCATCGCTTGCATCCCTGCCACCGCGCTTGCCTATGCTGTGCCAGGCGCTGACTGTCCGAAGACTATTTGCTACAAGGGTATCGCCGGAACTATTTGTAAGGGAATGGCCTGGTTCACAAGCAGGACACCTGGGCAGAAGGACATAGGACAGAAAGCGATAGTCTTTGGGTCTTTCTTCTGACAGTCATATTAGTCACTGAGTACAGGATCATGTTGTCCCATGGGCGCCCATAGGAAAGACACGTGTTCAAGGTCTTTCTTTACTGGACGGACTGGACGCATGTCCTGATCTGTTTCTGTGACACGTATATAATGTAGGTTTCCTCAGGCGTTCTGTAGCCTAAGTCATGAAGTCATGTCTTCAAAATCGCATGTTCCAGCTTTCCCACCTGTGTGTGGCCGGACATCGCCGGACCAGCCGTGCCTCACCGTACCTCACCCCCATTTCTTGACGTCACGTAGACCATCGACACGTTTGGGACATTCGGGGACCATCGGGCACATCCAAGGCCTTTGTGGATCGTGTGATATCGTGTGGGTATTGGATGGTATTTTGGTGGGAGACCCAAACACGATATTGGTGTGGGGCTCGCTTTTTTGGGATCATAGAACTGGTTGAACAGGTGGTAATGTAGGCCCGGCATCATTTCCGTGCATGGGGCTTTGTGGGATTTTTTCTAGCCCACCCAACAGGATTGGGGTAGGACCAGATGTTAGACTATAGACCTTCTCTTCGGAAAAGTGACCGGACCTGGGTCCTGCGCGAGTGGAGGAAATAGCTCCAAGGAATTTGGTTTGTAGGGGAAACATCTACAAGAAACCCGTGGTTTCCTGTAGATGTTCCCTTAAACCAAGGGGAAACTCTGCAGGGAACCGCAGGAAACCCGTAGTTAGTTTTCTCTGGATGTTCCCTTAAATGCCGCTTGCTGAGACGGAAACATGAAAGCAAAAGCAACGAGACTCTGAGGTGAAGCGGCCGAGGGCAGAGCACCGCTGGAAAACACCGAGACGCCTGACACGGATGAGGAGCTGGTGACCGGTGGCCACTGGGACACCGGCGAAAACCGTCGTGGGATCACCGGCAGAAGTCGTCGCATCACTTCGCCATCGTCGCATGCCAGACGCATATATGCCACATGTGTGGCATATATGCCGCCCCATTGACCCCAACTTCAACCACCCCAATGTAGGCAAATATGGCAGTCCAATGGAGTGTGTGGGTTTAGAATGTTTTAGATCGACTTCAGAGAGGGATTGCGGAAGAACCAGTCTTGTGGGTGGATGAAAACCCCCGACGGAGTTGGACGTTGGAAGAAGAGCACCGCTCCCAAGTTCGATGCGCCTGGGTCCAATGCGTTTTGGAGGTTGGGCAACCCTATGTATAGACATGTATCATGTATATATATATATATATATATAGACTCCCGTTTTAAAAGAAACATTCCATATATATTACTTATTGTAAGATCATAAAAAGCTTTTCGTAAGGGAGGTTGAAATCTCGGGTTCCACTTTGCCCGAATCCCCGAATCCCTTTCGGTCCCTTCGCTCTTCCTCCCCGAGGTGACGATCTTTGAGTGCCAAAAAGTGAGCGCCAATTCTCGCTGAACTGGGGGGGAGAACTGGATGGAACGGAGCTCCTTTATGAGGTGTTGGGGAGAACTCGAACGGAGCTCCTTTGCTTTCATGTGTCCTTTTCCCTTTTGGGTTTAACATGGTTGAAGACATCATTCACATTCATCCACTATACTGAGGACATTGTACTTGCCCAAGATCAGGCCTCTCATAGTTCTCCAAACCCTTCTGATAGGGGCCCACAAAAGCCAAAAACTTCCAGAAATTCTAAGCAAACTTGAAGAGAGGAACATTGGCCCATCCTGTCACGGACGGGTTCCAACACTCCCGACTCCCGAGGGCGGCCAATGATGTGCTCTCCCTGCTCTTGGTATCTCTTGGTCGGCATGTGTCGGTATGGTTTTTCCTGGTGTCATGATCTATGCCGGATGGTGGACCAAACGGCGTTAGAGCATGTTAGAGCTGCATATTACTTGGGTTACTTGGGTATCCAACTTCACTCTGGCTTCTCATACTCTCAATGTCCCAAGCAGTTTAAACAAGTGACATAGGAATCCTAAGGTGATATATACTGATATACTGTATTTACTGGGCTCCAAGTGATAGACCAGACTAGGGCCATACAGACAGGGCAACCAACCTTCAGTCCTTCCCATGAAACGTCCTTTGGCTCAAGCTTTGGAGCCATTGGCTAAAGAGTCAAATCAGTTCGCAGTTGGTCGAGCGATGTCGAGCGCCAACTTCGTGCTAGAACACTTCGTTCATCCATCACATCATCCTGCATCATCCTGCATCCTTCCAAAAGGTGGTGCCTCACAACAGGTGCCCGTATGTACACGGGTGGCAAGGACGGACGGAATTCTGTATTGTATCACTATGCAAGTGCAGTACTATAGTTCAGCCTCTTTGACCCAGGCCTCCAGAAAACATAAGGAGCAGTGGAAAACCCAAAAAGGGATTCTTTAAAGACACATCGTCCTGCGGTCACCGGTGCCACGCGGTCTCCGCAGTCGAAAGACCCGCCCCGCCATGTGGCGTGGTGTCGCCACCGCGCCGGTCCTGCCGGGTCAATCGGTCCCGTGGGGAGGCGAGCGGTGCGATGCGTGGGACCGGGGAAGATACAGCCAGACCGGTACAACCGCCCTGCCTTCCGGACATGGCGGAGCAGTACAGGTATGTTGGAGGAAAAAGAGAGAGCAACCTCTGTAGAGAGGCAACTCATGATGAATGATGAGGCAAATATCAAGATATTTGGGTTCGTGGTTTACTGTGAACCTACATTCGGGCAGGATCCTGGTTGTGGGGCTCTTGTCATTCCACAGCTCTACTGTCTATAGCACCAACACCCTTCTTGTGACAGGTGTAGAGACATTCCCTCCACCCCAAAGACGTGGCCGCAAGCCCGATGCCCTTCCATGTCAGAACAAACCTTCAGACCACTGATGTCACCCACAGGTGATATTTATTTGATCAAGACTTGCTGCAGGTAGAACACACATTGATCCGCCAAACAGGTTTGGCACCTTGCTCAAATACCAAATGCCCTGAGGCACACCTTCCTTTGTAGCCTCCTGGCCTTCGACGCTGCCAAGACACGCCAGCGCCACGCGTGACGCCACCGCATTCTTTGGCGCCGCCGCGTGTTTGGGCGCCGCCGCCTCGTCGCGGCGTGGGGCGGCGCTGCAGCGGAGGCCATATGCAGTGTGGCACGGTGTTGAAATGCGTCGGGGCGGTGCCAGGGAGCATCTGCGAAGTCATTTGGGAGTATCAGGATCCTTGGCATGTCCCACGGTAGGGATGGTAGAAATCTGAGACCGAAGGTTTGCTAGTTCAGGTGGTCACCTTGACTCTATGGGATCGGTGGATCTTGTCCAAACGACCCGGCGCTCAGCTCGCGACTCGCAGGGCCTTGGGCGGCAGCCCTTGGGAGGTCTTGGGGGTCTCGCCGGGCGCGACGCCGGCGGAGATCAAGAAGGCCTACCGGAGGAAGGCGTTGACGCAAAGCCGCAGAGGTCAAGCTGGGGGGTAAAGCTGGGTTTTCTGGGAGTTGGGTGGAGGGGTGAAGTGAGGGAAAGTGACAGATGTCCTGGTTCGAGCTTTGATCTATTTATAATGTGACATTTGAAAACATATGAACAAATGGTAGCATGTTTCAAGAAATAGCCGGATGCATTGTTTCTTCAGGGTAGGAGCTCACGGGTGGTAGAATAAACTTTGATGCCCAGTCACAGCTGCGCACATCACCATGGCTTGATCCATTTGGAACGACATGGACACTATATGCAGCGAGACAATCTCACTCACCATTTTGATTGGAAATAAATAGCTGTGAGAGTCCACTAAAATCTGAAGGGATTGTCTGGACTGTCCAAACGAATGATCTGGACGTAAGGGATTTTTGCAACCTTTTTGGCGAACTTGTCTCACTCGCCATTTTTACTTTCTTCAGGGGTAAATCTGGAGAGTCCACCAAGTTCACCAAAATGGCTGTGAGCTTACACCCCTGCTGGCAATCTCCCCGTCGTGCATTTGGTCGTGCGTGCCGTTGCCCAAGGAAGGAGCACCCAGACGTCAGCAAGCTGCCCGACGCCAAGCAGCGGTGGCAGGAGCTCTCGGCTGCCTACGACGCCCTGAATGACCCAGCACGTCGGCCGAAGGGGACGGAGGGGCGGAGGATGACAGGGAAAAGCATCAAGGGCACTCTTCCCCTTCAACACAAGTTATCGCATCTTATTTTATAATATATATATATATGTAGATGTATGCGGTATACGTACATGTTGAAACATCAAGCTTTTAGTAGACAAAGGAGCACAAAAGCCACCGCTGTTGCGGTGGCAGCGGCCGGTGTTCTTGCGTTGTTTCTTCGACCGGGACCGGCGCCCAAGGAGAAGCTCAAGGCATGGGAGCGTGCCCAGCGGGGTGCTGGTCAACGCGGGACGGCGAGCGCTTCATCCCGCACAAGAAGCCGCGCAGGTGGGGGACGGACGGTGGAGAGAGGAGGTCGGACCAGTTCCTTTTCAGCGGATTGGAGTGGTTTGGTTACCCCTTGATGCAAAGTCCATGACAAGTCATTCGATCCCTTGGGATATTGAATTCATTTGAATTCCAGATCATCGCTAGATGTTCACCTTGTGTTCCATGTTATCAGGGAAAGTCCTGGGAGTTCGGTTCACTCGCAGCAGCCATGTGGCCTGACTTGCTTTCTGCAAGGGCTGCTGCAGCCTTTGGAAGATGAAGATTGAGAATCAGAAGGGTTGACGAAGCCTTTGGGCGCCAACGTCCGGAAGACCGTTCCGCGTCGTTCCTTTGAGTTCAAGACAGTCCAATGTCGACAGGGTTAGGGCTGGAGACCGGAGACCGGGCCTCGAACCTTTCTCGTCTTCAACCATCGGTCCTGAGAACACCCGGTGTCCCGGTCTTTCTCATAGTAGGTGTCCCAACAGACCAAGGAAGCCGCCTGCCATGCAATAATGCAAGGACAACCAGAGCATACCAGAGCATGTCATGGGGTGATAGTCATAGTGTTTGAGAGCCATTTACATCGTGTGGGATAGTACTTCTTACGGGTACGGTAAGAGCACATGTGCTCTCCCTCTGGTCTCCTCCTCTAGCCCCTTGTCACTGTCCCTGGAGGTGATGGGCGCTGGAGACGGACCCAAGAGCTTGATGAGAAGAGTCTCGCTTGAAGGCTTCTAACGCTGCTGTTATTCATATGTGTTTCTTTGTTATTTAATATATTATATACTCATTTTCTGTCTCTCTCTCTCTCTTTCTGTGGTCATCCAGCCCATCAGGACTGTAATTGACCTCGTCACGCTGAGGTACGACACGGGCGGCGACTCCATCGGGCAAATCTTCAACGATCTCTTCAGCAGTTTGGGCGAGGCAGCTCTCGTGGCGTCCTGCGGAGCGTTTTACGGGCTCCGCGGATGCTGAAGATTTGAATCTTGAGAACACACCAAGACCGGGTGGACATGAATCCAAACAACGACTTCGGTGTTATTACCGCATTCACCTTTCCGATTGCCTAACATTCCTGCTGATACTGATACTGGTCGTCATATATGTCGTCATAGTTGTTTCGAAATGTGTTTAACCAATGCCTGACTCACCATCCCCAGATATTCAGAGCCTCAAAGATATGTGTGAATGAATCCTTCACAGCTTCCAGGATGAATCGGAATCCCGTGTGCGCAGAGCCACTCGTGCTGGAGGTGCGATGAATGAGGGCGAGTGGGAGGGCGTGTTTTCTAGCGGTGACCGGGAATAGCCCCGCCATTGCTGTATGTACGACGATTTTAAGTACGTACCTGGTGGTCGTAGTTCCGAGATTGACAAATATGTGGGATTATATGGGTAAAACCCCCATCCATAGAAACAAAGTAAGACTTCCTTGGTGAATCTTGGTGGACCGCCGACCGCCAAAGGGCAGTTGGATGCTACCACTGGGCTTCATGTGAACTTGGATGCCACCTTCTCCAAGGTTGTTGTACTGGTAGTATGTTGTAGTCATTTCCCTATCCCCAAAGAATGGAAGTAGAGCAAGAAATAGTATTCCACGAGGCTTCGTAGACTTCCCTGATTATTGGTTGCAGGGTATTCCTGAAACAGTACCCTCTCGCACTGAAACAGCCACCATTGACGTTTGGAAGACGATCTTCATTGATGTTTGCTATGTTTGTGGTGGAGCGAATGTACTGTTCAAGCCAACCAGGGGCGCCTGGTTCCATCATATCATGCAATCTTGTGCAGCATTTTGGGAGTACAAGGTGAGAACGCAAAGCAGGCACCCCCAGAGAGACCCTTCAAGTGTTCCCTGGCGATCGCAGAAACGTTTCTCATTCAGAAAGGGATTTGATGGGCGGATTCGGTTCACAGGCATGCTGCTCGAAGACCTTCTGGAATTTCTGGAGAAGGGCCTGGGCGAAGATGCCAAGACCGGGCGCGCCCGCGCCCTGGCGAAGCAAAGTCGGTGTGTGTTTTCACGGCAGAAGGCTGACCCGGATGGGCCCTGAGAAGGCGAGGCTTTTTCATGCAGGCAGGAGGGAATCTCTCAGTCGTAACGGCATGAAGGTATGTGGATCCATGTGAATCCCTAGGGAGTGTTACTCTTGTGCAGGTGGTAGAGCTGATATTGGGAGGGTTGGTAGATCGTGTAGATGGCGTTCCCAAAAGGAACCTGTGTCGTGAATGCAGGTGTGCTTGAGAGCTCCACAAACCAAAATAGAGCAGTCCGGAACTACAAGTCCACGGCTATCAGAGGTCACCTGTTAAACCATTTTCTATCACCGTGCATCATTGGTAGGACAGGGCATGGCAGGAACGGCTTGTGGGATTTTTTTGGACCATTTAGAGGAAAAGCACTGTATACACTGTACACCAAGAAAGCCTGATTCACAGCATCAATTGGAAAGAAAAAAATGGACGGGTGCTTTTGGTGGCCCTGCTCTACTCAAAGGTCGTCCATCAATAATCATGTTTAGCCGCATGTTTTGGCAAATCCCCAGCACTTCATGTCCGCAATATATGAGAGTAATAGTTACTGTATATGACAATATATGACAATTTCGCCTACATTGGGTGTGGTTGAAAAGAAGTCCCACAATGATTCATAACCCCCCCAAGACATGGATTGGAAAACCGCTTCATCTACGAGGGGTTGAAGAGGTTGAAAAAGATCCCTTTGAGTTCACCAGTCCCGTCGTGTCTACGGATTCCTTTCACACGATGCGACTGGCCCTTTTGTACGTTGGAAACCATCCGTTTTCACCGCATTCTGAGGAGAAAGCCCTTTCGCCTGGAGCAACCCCGACAAAGAGCGCCTTGGAGCCACTGAGGTGTTCTACTAGCCTCATCTGAGGAAACCAGTTTACAAATTGAACCAAGATTCAATGAAACACAAACATCATCACCCTATGTGATTGAAATGATCCATGCGAAAGGGATACTCTATGTGACATGACCAACTCAATACATAATATGAGTTGGAGACTCTATGTGGACCGGACACTCTATGTCAACTGAGCACTCAAAGTGCAATGGCAATTCACGACCTTACTTTTCACAAATACTTCATCAATACTAATACTAATACTATGAGCACCTTCATAATTGGTACAGTGTGCACGCAGTCGTACAGTTTAGGTAAGTTCCTTCTATTCTTCGTTTCTCACCAAGCACGACCCGGTGACAAATGTCACTCCCACCGGATTATATATGCGTTTTAGTTCATCAATTTTCCCTTTGCACGTAGCATGTTTAATCACACACTAGGTTTAGGGCGGTCGGCCACTAAAAGCATCGCCGAAAGTGACTATGGCAGTGAAAAAGAAATGGTAAATCCTCTTCTGGAGAATTCTGGTGAATATGAATATGTATGTTTTGTTTGTCCGGTTCCTTAAGAAATCCAAGATGATGAATGGCACTGTTTGGCGCAGTTGTTCCTGTGATGCACCCAACGGCATGATGATCAATGTTGTCTTGTTGTTGTGTTTTCCAAACAATACAAGTGGACCTGGACGGGGACCTATCTTTTTTGCAAGAATCCAAACATAATACCCGCTTGGCGACCCCCAACCGTAGGCTTTTGGTGATTGAATCCGCAGGCAGTGACCTATTGGGTGCTCTCTCTCACGGTGCTGGTGAACTGGTGTCCGATTCGATCGTTGATCTCTCAGGCTGCAAGAGGCACGGTTTGAGTTTCAGACCATGCAGAGCCGAGATGAGGCACCGATGACCGCTCGACCGATCCGTCTCGTGGGCTGACCGAAAACGTGGGCACCTGCGGACTGATCCGTCTCGGGGCAGGTCGGTGCCGGGGGGAATGTGAAGTCGAACGCTTAGCTAGGTTGTTACATATGGACAGCCCAGCACCAACAACAACAAGAACAAGAACATACAACATACAAGAACAATTAATGTGTTTTCCCAACTCAACATGTCCCTGTCATCGTCACCTACACCGAGACACCCAATGGCACTGACCAAAAAAACACCGATCAGTTGGAGTGGTTGAAAAAGCGTCCAGATGGAGCAGCGATTCCAGTCCCATTCGGTCGTGTTTGGCAATCCATTCGATCAACCCTTGCAGTGGTCCAATTTCAAGTAAAGAAGGACTACATAACATAAACACCTCCACTGTGACTTTTTGGTTTTGTTTGTTCAACCTATTTTGATATTCCGATATTCCCCGTCGTGGGGCGTTTGCAAAAGCCGCCCCCGTGGGTCGTCAGGTGCTGGCCGCCGAGGCGGCGGCCTGGGAGCGCAAGAGCGAGTTGTGCCACGATGGCAACAGTCCCACGTGGCGCCAGCGTGTGATCATGGTACCTTCTCAGGTTCGGTACGACTGCTCACCCTCCTGGCACCTACGACGTGTCTCCAATCACATCAATCACCTTCTGAGAAGGTACGACTGGATCCCGGAATCCACGGTCAGGCCATGTCAGGGGATGGTAGGGTGTGTCCCAGGTTTTTGTTTCGGTACAAGAGTATCTACATCGTTTTTGTTGGAGAACGGCCTTGACTGACAATCGCCAACTGCTACTAGTACTGGCAAATCAGATACACCCAAGTCCGGGGAGTTATGAACCCGACCTGGGTGCTGCGGTAGTCCATTGATCTCTCACCAGTCGCTACGGTTTCGACCTGAAAAGTCTGGCCATTTCGCGGTGATTTCGAAGCTCCCTGGGGACATCCAGTGGGTGTCCAACCGTGGCCATCCCACAAGAAAAGGGGCTTGTCCGTGGGATGCCCAGGACGGAAGGTCAAGGTCCTAGTCTGAAGAGACCCTGAAAACCACTGGGTGCTTGAGAATAGTTTTACAAGGGGTCCATTTGATCATCTTCTTCTATGTTGGTGTGCAACTGGGGTATGATTTGATTTTTTGTTCAGTGGTTCGAAACCATTTTGACCGGTGGATGTTACCTTGGCCCCTCGGAATATGTAACCTTTGTTAGATCGACCGGGCAACGAGATGTTATATATGATTGTTTTCCCTAGGCCTGGATAGACGGGGCTTCATGGAGACGGTGTCCTCCCTTGTCCCCAAATAAGGACAGGATAGAAACGATGTCAATTTGGGGTGTCAAAAAGATCAGTGTTGTTTGGTATTGCGAGCTCGGAACCAATGTACAACATTGTACACATGTTGTTGGAGGGATTTGTATTATCTCTGAGGTCGCAGGCTTTCCTCAAAACAGAGGATGAGGACAGTTCGGGTTGGTTGCACTTCCTCCAGAAGTGTCGATATTTGGGGGATTCACTTTGATTTGTTCGCAATGTGTTTTCTTAGTCCAGAGATGACTTACTTATACTTAAAGCTTACTGTACTTGGTAAAGCATGCCGCCTTTCACAACGTTTGTTGAACTTCCTTCCACCCTTGACTCCTTGGCCACTGCTTATGTGTCCTCGAAGTCTCGGGGACCTCACCGGCTTGGTGAACGGTGCGCGAAGCGAAGCACCGCGGCGCCGGGTGGCCCCGCCGTTGGGTTCGGTGCCCAGCTGAGGTGCCGGAGCAGCGGTGACAAGGCCGGAGAGTTGGATGGGATGCAGAGAGCCTCGGCGAAGGACAGCGAACTTATGTGCCACAGGACCGGGCGTCAGAAAGAGCGACCCAGAAAAAGCGGGATCGCCTGGTCACGTGGAGTGGGTTCTCCACTAAATATGAACAGGCGAACAGGTGTGAAGAGGTTTTGGCAGCCTTTGTGTTGGAGGGAAACTGAGGCTGTCAGCGGAGAATCGGTAGGTTTCACCGGATGCGTTATATGTCGCATGGTATGCGTTCAGTTCGGAGTTCTCATTCTGTCACCAACCGGTATACCCGGTGTGCAAAAAAAAGCAAAGCAGATGTTGAGCAGAATTTCATTTGCACTGCCCTTTTTCGTGTAGCCAGCAGAGGGTCGTCAATCAGAGGCTTAATCCAAAAGCCAAGAAGATGGAAGTGGATGACATGAATCCTCGGAACGCGATTTCTTGTGCTCAAGAAAAGCGGTCTTCACTGAGTGTAGCTCTCGCCCAGAAAGATTTGAACAGAACGTTGTGACCTGTGTGACTTGGTTTTAGCCATGATCAAATCCTGCAGAACGTATTGCAAGGCAGCAAGAATAAGATTTGGCGGGTAATTAATGAGGATTCTAAGATAGGATAATAGGAGAAGCCAATTTTCTTTAAAAGCCGAGGGTTTCTTTGAAGCTGGATGTCGGGAAGATGAGCCACATGTGCCACGGAAAGGCCTTTCATCAACTAATTAGCAGGAGGATCAAGTCTGGCATTCTTCAGAGCACAGGGTTGAGACGAACCCAGGAGTTGTGTTTCCTTTGTCGATGCCCTACGTGAATGATCATGGTAGAACTCCTGACGCACCCATTGTGCATACATAAATGTTAAAGTGTAATATCCTGTTTGTTTGTGTGTTTATTTCTTTCCTTCTTTGTGTCGTGTTGTGACTGACAGTGGATCAAAGAACAGGCCGATCTCATCGTCGTAAGCAGTTCCCGATCCCATCCGATCTGAGGACTCTTCGACACTCGAGAGCGGCGGAAGACCATCCGGCGGCGACTGCTGAGCATTCAGGAGAGGATTGAATACTTGGAGCAGCTGGGCGAACATGAACGTAGTGTTAGCCACGCTTAGAGGTGATCCATGTTTTGCTTCCTCCACAAGGCCATGGCCTTTGTGGGATGTTTTTGCTTCACCACAAGCCCTTCGAAGATCAATTATGGTCTATTGAAAGACAGCAAATAAGTCTACCAAAGAAGGCGGTGTGTTGGCAATGCTTCCGGCTCAGCTGAGGAAGGTCCTCTTTGAGTACAATCGGAAGCAGGAGGCGAAACGATCGCCAAACATGGCCCAGCCACCGTCACTCAGTGGAAAACCTGCGAGGTGAAAACTCAGGAACATGTTGAGTTTGGGCGAGGAGATTGTCAAGAGATGCCATGGGACTGCATGGGACTACCCTTCCTTGAGCAAACATCGTTTGAACTGATGGTCACTGGTTCACATCGTTGGAGCTTCACATCGTTGTAATGATGTGTTTAAGACAACTTATCGCTTACAGCATCTTACAACGGTTCATCGCCTGAAAAGGACAAGAAAGGCCAGTTCAGAGGAGGACCGATCCTCCGCGACCGACCCTCCGTCGCCCGAGGCGCAGCGAGCCCCGTCGACCGGCCAAGCCCAACTTCGACGCGGATCAGGCGATGCTGTGGGAGGGCACGCACCGATCGGCAGATCCGCTCGGCGGAGGCGAAGTGCTGCATACCCCAAGAATCCAACGATGTGACGTGCTGAAGAAGATGATGTTGATGATGATGATGATGGATGTCGGGCTTGTGGGCTTTCCTACTTGTTTCCACCTGGGCGCCCTCGCCAAAATGCGATACTGCGGTCGACTTGTGTCGACAAAGGCCAGGAGACTTGGGAGATCGCAGGCAGTTGTTGTGTGGTTTTATCATGCTTGATCTTGAATTCAGAGTGGCATATATAATCTACGCGAGGGGCATAGAATATGAACCATTTTGTGTATGTTTGGCCATCCAATGGTTGTTGCGACCTGGCACCAGTGTTAGCCTCCTCGTTTCAATCCAAGCAGCCATAGCAAAGCGGAGCCTCTGCAAAGCTTGGAGCAGCCCAACGACACTTGGGACCTGGTGAAGAGAAAGACACGGGAGAAGCTGAACAGGTCCACACTAGAATGCCCCCAACTCGATACAGAATGAACAGTGAATCTGTCAAATATTATCAAACAGATTCAAATAGAGATGGAAGCCCTCGGAGCCTCGAAGGTGAAGGAAAACAGGTGCAGACCCGACGGAAAAAAGAAAATGAAACGCTTTCTGATTGTATATTAATATAAGAAAACATCACAAAACACGTGGAGCCGCGCGCGAAGGTGAAAATCTAGGAAAAGCCTTCAATTGATATATACATGTTCATGACTGGGGTCTCCTGACGAGGCTTGAACCGATCTTTCAACCTCTCCAGTGTTGGTCAAAGGCTCCAAGCCTCTGAGCCAAGCAACAGTTGTGTTTGCTGAATTATGTTTTTGAGGGGGGCCGAAACTGGCCACCGCCTGTTCTCCAGCCAATCAAACTAGAATAATTATGTTCCATCAACCTGAAATAGGGATCCAGCCTTTGGTGGGGAACCATCAATGGATATATTGTAATATATATATATATAGATCAGTGCAGTAGACATATCCTTCTCCGATCTGGTTCGTCGTCCACAAAATTAAGGTGAATCGCTCCACATAATTCTTGCAAGAACTCCTTGCAACCTTGGCGAATCGCTTCACCATGCTTCACCCATCGCTCGGCCCGGCCTGCGAAGCCAGGCCTTAGCAGAGCTCAAGCGTCAGAAGGGCAAGGCCTAAGGAAGAACAGCGAGGCCAGGGGATGTTCGTGGTTTGCAGTGGATGGCTGGTGAAATGCACCAGGGGGATTTGTGTAGCTGATGCTTGATGAATGTTTCGGGGTCCTTTGGAGATACTGGTACCCCGTTCAAGATGCAGAGCCAGCTACATCCTCTTCGGTGCAACGGGAAGAGCTGGCACACGTTGGCCCTGCATGTCCGCAGGCAAAACTATATGCGTTATTCATAAGATTTATATATACTTAGGGTCTGTCCTATTACCTGTAACAGTCAGTAAACAATTATCATCATTTTTTGAACAAGGCCTTTCCTAACCATCATCATCCACTAGACCCAATGTATACTGTATGACTGTATGTATACATCTGTAAAACTCCTCAACCTGGTTCTTCAAAGTGACCTTTTGATATCCCAGTTTGAGGTCACTTGGGACTCTAAAAGGTCACTTCGGCACTCCAAGAGGTCACGAACTGAAGAAGCTGGAAGACTCTTTGGATGTTGTGATTTTGAGCCCGGCTCCGATGCCGAGAGATCTGAGACGACAAGAAGTGTGTTGAAAAACATGAACATCCGAAGCGACACTCTTGAGAAGTACGAAGAGACACCAGGATCAGCTATGATCTGAGAGTCGTCCCAATTCCAGCCCATTTCCAGGACTGGGAAAAGCCTTGAAAGGGGTTGGATGGGGTGAATATGGGTTAATTACTGTTGGAACATTAGAGTTCAAATCATATACAGCTGAGCCATTTCCGGTGTCAATTTCAGCCGAACCATTCAGGTGAAGAATGCTGAGTGGGATGGTCCCATTTCCCGTGGCAAAGCCACAGTCAGACACGGTCAGACAGATGCGTTTCTGTGGAGCTCGCTCCCCAGCAGGAATGAAAACAATCTTCTGTTTTCATTGATCGACCCCGTTTCCATGCCTGTGTCGCTTGCCTCATGCTGTGAGCGAGCCACCGCGTGGTTTCCACGCATACTCGTAGCACAGATTTTCCGATTCATGTCCTGGATCGAAACCATAAGGCCAGAAGCATGTTCTGGTGAGAGAGCCTGGTTGAGGGTAACAGCAGGGTGGCAGCCTTGCCATACAACGCCTTGCTGCAGAACAGGATTGGTCGAGGAATCCAGTTTGCAACATATTCCAACCATTTTGAGGAAGCCATTTTTTGATATTTTTGGGCCCTGGTGGGGTACACATTGCTGGGGTTGAGGTTGCAATTTATTGGGTCAAATTTTGGCAATCGCATCCACTTGTACTGGAACGTTTCTTCACTCAGTAGAAGCGATCTCCCCAGTGGAGTTCACTCCAGAAACCTTGCCCAGTTCCCAGTGTTTGTTCCACCCGAACGATCTTAAGCCGAGATCTTCAGCCGAAAAAACCGCACCAGTTGCACCCTGAGAAACCGCAGCTGATCCGTGGCTCAGCGATTTCAGTCCGCGACCACGAGTCCGCCCATGTCGGCTTCCCAAGTCCCCATGTTTCTGGATGCTGTGAATGCTGAGATCAAGGCCGGCCACCGGTGCTTCTTGTTGTCGTCGCCGGCGGTTGTGGTTGTGGTTGTGGTATGTTGTGGTTGCTGTTGCTGTTCTTGTTCTTGTTCTTATTGTTCTTGTTCTTGTTCCTTGCATTGTTGTTGTTGTTGTTGATGGGAAAGATTGTCCTCTATTTGTTTCAGGTGACGGGCGTGACAGAAGAAGGGCTAGAGTAAATGTTTTTGAGAGTTGAGAGGCAGCGTTGAAGAGTTGAGGGGAGTTTTTGGGAGTTGAGGGTTTGTTTCTGGATCTGAACAAGTGTGAGGCGTAAGTAAGGGCAGCAGCGAAAGCACAACAATACAACTACAGGAGTGCATCCGGAAAGAAAACGGATGAACACCTTTGTGGGTGGGTGTTCTCGAGAAAAGGCTGGTCGGGTAGAAAGAAGAGTGCAGTTTCTATATGGGCTGTGAGAGGAGCGTGCGATCCACAAGGACACAGCCCAAGATGAATAGGTTTGACACCAAAGAGACACCCCAGCGGCCCTAGCGAGATAACAGACACCATTTGGAGTTTTGTTACATCTTCAGCCCTCCTCAGTCAACTCGTTTCTCCATCGAAGCAGAAACAAAGCTCTCTCCGCGCAGAGGTTCTGAACACCTTCCTGCATGTGAGCTCCAAGCCTGTCGTCCAAACCAGCTTCTCAGACACTTCGGCTGTATGGTTCGGCATGTTCGTTGAAAGGCAGTATGGCGTTTCGGCCGGCCAACTAGGGGGAGCCCTTTTTTCGGAGGATCATGGCATAGTTCATGGCCATACATGGTCTCCTAAACAGCCAGGGAATGTGCTAGCCATTGACTTTGCTAACATATAAAAATTAAAGTTAGCAATCATTGAATTATAAGAATGATAAAGATAATAAGACCATGAATTTTAAGGAGACAAGAAGGAAAAAGAGAACCAGATAAAATTCATGGTCTTGGGAATCCTTCATTAAAAATAAGAGATACAAAGGTGGCACTTGTTCATGTGTCATATGAAGTTCAACAAGAAATGATTTGCCTTGCTGTTTGCACGAGAACCAGTCAGTACAATTTGTATGTTGTTATATATATAGGGCATTGTTTTATGGTCGTTGTAGGGTCCCAGTCATAGGTTCTGATGGCCATTTTGCAACTGCTCATTGGTATGGGCCACAAAATGGGCTCCAGGACTCCAGCCTGAGCTTTTTTGTTGAGATGGATTGAAGGAAGATACCTGGGTCGTTCACCACATAACCACAGTTTCTAGTGGAAACCGCAAACTCCGTTTCATCTTGGTGGTTCCATGAGATGGACGGGTAACCCGTCTCTGTGTGGATGATCTACGAAGGACCCGGGGAACCTGGGGGGGCTGACTCCAAGCGAAACGTGAAGCGGTGAACGAGACGACCGTGAGACGAACTGTCGAAGCCTGTGTCAGCCTGGCGTCCGGACCCACCGACCACCGAGCTGACGAGAGGGTCGCGTCCACGCGTTGGTGCGGCACCGTCTCAGGAGCCTTTGCCGATTTTGCCACACTTCTCGGAGGAGGAGGAGGAGGAGGAGGTGATGCCATGGAGGAACCTGGGCCCAGTTGAACCAAAGAGCGTGAATCTGAAGTGAAATTGATGACACTTTGTCGATGTTTGTGGTGAATCGTGTTGATATAAAAATGTGTATTAGATAATAATAATCAGCTGATATGTGTTTGATGATATGTTGTTCTCCATCCTGCAATGCTGGTCACACATGGCCACTCTACCCTATTTGGGAATGGTTATGCCAGTTGACTTGTATTTTTGGGGCTTCCCGTCAACTTCAAATCACCAACCGGATTGCAACTCTTTTGTGCCACATCAAAAACACCACCGACCCGCCTTGGCGAGACACAGTGCCAGGACCCACGACTCCTATGAGGAGGAGGGTCCTTTCGTAACTGGGATGCTTTCGTGACTTGGGGGCCTCCGGGGCTTCCCCTACTTAAGCATTCCAAACCCGGACATGAAAACCACCGCCCAGGTCGGGTGGTTTCCATGGAAAGGACATCATTTGTCATTGGGGATCTACATCCTTTGAGTGGTGCTGGAACAAAGATGTTTGTTGGCTTCTAGAACACCCAAAGACGGTGCCTGAAGAACAAACTGGCTGTTGGAGTGGTCTTGACTAGAAAAAAGACACCTGTGCGAGCTCGGTGCTTGGATCCTGCCCCGCGAGGCGATCGCACGGTGTGTGATGTGGACCCCAAGCGACGGGTGTTTGAGAACAAGGCGGCCCATGGAGTGAAAACCCCAAGGCCCCAAGCGGGTGATATGCACCGTTCGTCTTTTGACAGCTTTTGACCGATCGCACGGTGCTGCAGCAAGAGGCGGGATAACCACCACTAGCTGGCGTTTTGAATGGAACTGTGCCCACTTGACCTGAGGGTACCAAGAAGGGAGTCGACTAGACCGATGAACCTGGTCTTTGGGGCCAGCTTGAGACCTCCGCTGGGGCACTTTCCGTTCTTGCCGACTCCACAGCATGGAGAGGCAAGGACACAACGGAGCGTGATGACTCCCAAAGAACATCACAATAAGCGGAGCTGACGACCCCGGACAGTTGTCTGCCATTTCTGCGACATCACATATTGCCAATTGGAGCTTGGCCAGGTGCCAGGTTGTTGTGACCTCTGTACTGTCCACACCAGGCTGAAGCAAAGCAGTCCTTCCTTGCTTTGTCTCCATAGAACATCTTTAGGACCTTCTCCAGGACCCCTAGGAACAACCTCCACCAGAAGAGACCCTGAAAGTGTACAGTTTTTGAGGCAACCCAAGACCTACATGTATCAGTATCAAGGGCATTTGTCAAAAAGAGTGTCACGGAAATGTGCCAGTTCTGAGGTGGCCAAAGTCTCTACTCTGGAGTATTTTGAGCAGGTCAGGGGACTTGGTCTGCGTAGCTGCAAGAAGCTGCAGTGTTGCAGGTCCGGCTATTCCATGCTATGCCCTTAGCCCTTGGCTTGTACCATGACCATGTGGCACAAGATGGCACAAGTGTTGTTTCAACCTGTTTGCCATCTGATGGCAGATCTTTGGTCTGACCAGCGAAGTTGCGTCTCCAGCAGTCGACGAGGCCACAGAGTCTAGTTGCCTCCTTGATATACCCTCCAATAGACATGTAAGTGGATGGCACCCCGTGTCTGTAGAGGATTTCAGGGTCGAACGCCGGAGGGCCACGGTCCAGGAGGCCTGGAGTCTCTCTGCTTGACACGACCACAACGCGGGCAAATGTGGGCCTTGTGTTGGAAAGCCGTACAACGGATGTTGCCCGTGTTGAAGATGGAGAACCAAGCCTGGGTGGTGTCAGATATATTCAGACATGATATAAATATGATATATGTAATACGTTTATGTTCAACCTAAAATTGAGATAATTGAGCCCACTGACACATATCCTTTCAAGTGATTTGAAACCACCATCCCCCCATCCTTTTGTATCTTGGGGCCTTTAGCGGAGATATGAACAAAAGTTCAATCGAACAGTTGGGCGGGTTCACGATGTCTCTTACTTTGAAGTGAACACGATTAACAAAAGAACAGTTAAAACAACCATGTCCCAGTTCCAAATGTCGCGGTGCTATCCATGGGGTGCCATCCGAACCGTTGTCAGGGTGCCATCCGCACTAGCACATCCACTCAAGAGGGGTCTAAAGATCCACCACGCCCCAAGCTGGAACTCCCGGTCCATGTGATTTGTTTTGGGGTCTTGTGCATTATTTCTATGCTGTGCTTTCTCGCCGTCATGCGCCGTCTTCTCGGAAGTCTTTGGGACACGAGGTCCGTCTTCCCAGGCGACGCGTCGCGGTTTTGGGGTCAGCGACGTCGGCGATGCACCCCAAAACACGTGTCAACCGAAAGTTGTCGCAGTCGAACAAAGGCGCCAGACTTTCGAACAGCCGATCACTTCGGACGTTTCAACCGTTTCGCAGGTCTCCACCTTCAATGCGGCTCCCTTTGAGAGAGGGACTGATGGAATGGAGCCAGTGGCTTGGAGTTGGATGAAGACTGCTGGAGACCCCAGAAAAACAGGCGTTTTGGAGTTCAAGAATGTTGACCGTAAATGTTTCACCAAGCATTTTTAAACCGAAAACACACCCAGATTCCAGATGTGTTTTAAAGCAAGTTGAAAGATTTGTTCAACAGCATAGCAGCATATTGCATGTAAAAGAGTGTAAAGGAAGTTGTGTGAAACAAAGAATTATGATTCATAATGTGATTAATTATTGCATATTGTTTAACAGTCCGGTCATGTACAAGAAGTGCGCTGAAATACTGGTATGTTGTGGACTGCCTGGACATGGCTCCAGTTTGGCGCCAGTGCTTGAAACACCATGACATGAATGATCACGCTTACTGATGGATTTGTCTATATATACACATTTGGAAGGATGTTGCTAATTCACGGATCTCCACGTGCTGGCACGGGGGGGGGTTAAAAATCTGTCAGACCAGGACCAACTTCAACTCGTGCACTTCCATTGTCGCACCAAAGAGCCCTTCCACCTTCGCACGAATGACGGAAACTGGTGAGTTTGCCGACGTGAAGCAAATCGGAGTAAGACCATGATAGAAGATATGCAAAATAATCACTACCGAACACCAGGTCCGCGATAACCACCCAAGAGCAATTGAGTCTTTGACCGAACACCCGCGCTTTATGTGGTTCCCGCCACCGACACCAGATCTATCCCAAAAGGTTCATATTTGTAGGGACTATAATAGAGAGAATCCATTTGGAATGTCCCATGATGCTGTTCCGTGACGCCGAATGCATGGAGAAATAGCTCTTCAAAGGTTTTGGCCGAAGGATCCTACTGAAGGATCTGGACCAAAGAAAGCTGACCCAAGAAAATATATAATGTTGTTGTTTTATGGGAGTGATTGCAAGGCCTTGGACAAATTGGAAAGATGATTTGCTCCTGTAGTGTGTCAGCAGGTGTTTTGACAAAACTGAATCATTGGCAGGTGATGAAGAAGATCTCGACCTTCGACTTCTTCGATGCTCCACTTACGCCCTACGCCAACACGACTCCCCTTCCCATGCACTGCGCGCCGAAAGGGTTCCCAGTGGAAATCCCTGTGGCGAAAGTGGAGTCGGAGGCACCGGTTGTGGATGTTGGCGTTGAAAGAAGGAAGGGATTGCTGTGGTACTGGGCACCAGGTGCTCAGAAGCGTTTGCTCACTCTTGGTGATGAGAAAGGATGAACCTTGTCACTACTAGTGTTAGTTCTTGATTGAACCCCCCTCGAGATTCAGAACCAGGATGGTAGAGCAATAAAGCAATATGTTTGGATATGTTTGGGAATATTTTGAGACTCAACATGAGCGAAACAAAAGTTGAAGTTGTTCAACCAGTTGGGGTGATGATTGTACCAACCATCCCTCCACCCGTGACCCCCCCTGGCAGTAGTGGTTGGAATTGATTGTTTGTGTTGTTGATTTGGATGTTGGATCCAACCCCGGCGGCACACGCGGCCAGTCTCAAGACACCGGGAAACCTAGAGAAGAGAACTTCAGTTTTACTGAATTGGTTCATGTGAAAGTTTTCGTTTTCCGGTCTGGTTCTCCGGCCTGTAACAGCGGCCTTCCTGTGAAGTGGAAAGACCAATAAGCCTACGTTGTTTCATGTCTATCTATGTTTCACCGTACTATCGGGGGTCAGTATGGGATCCTTGGGGTCAGCACCTTGGCCCCAGATGAGCGGTGGCACAGCTTCTTCTCCAGGCGGTGGACAAGATCTCAACCTATGACTTCTTTGATGCGCCCCTCACGGAGCCCATGCACTGCTCCGGCTGTGGTTTGGAGTTGACCGTGCGGAAGGTGGACTCCGAACCACCGGTGGAGCTGCGTGACGTAAAGAGAAAGACACTGGTGGGGTGCCAGGGACGGATGTCGTGACGTAAAGCTGTTTCTACGGTAGACCGGTAGACCTTATCAAGTAAACCGTAAAGCTTTCTATATCCACAAGCACAGTGGAACTAGATGTGTAATTCTTAATATATTCTAACATGCCCCTTTTGCGGGATCTCTCCCCAGAAAAGGAGTATGCTGGCATCTAGGTCTAGAGCTTGCCGCTGCTCATACCCCAAGCAACAGGTACAAGTCAACGGGGTTTGACCGCAGAGTTTCTGGATTCCGTGGACCCAAGGCACAACCGGCACCACCCTGAACCACCTGGGTAATTGGTGAACGCAAGGGAACTTAGAAGAGTATAGATTGGTCTAGGTGTTCTATTCATGTTACGGACCAGTTGGTTCACAGCCATTGTTTCTTTGTTGCAAGCAAAGGCCGTTTTCATGAGTCTTGCCCTTACGTGGACATCAGTCACGTCACAAGCCCAAGGCTCTCAGAGTCGGGGGGCATGTAGGGGCTCAATGCCACACGAGGGTCTACAGTCGTCTTCGTGACAAGTTTGACCAGTCCTCTCAAGATACCCTCCAAATGATCATGGTTTCATGGGTGGCATCACCTGTTTGTGGAACATAATCATCCTTCCGGGGCCCATTCAGAGATTTCAGAGAGTCTGTGGCCATTCTCACGCCAAGCTGCGGTTTGGCCGCACCACCCAGGAGCGTGTCCACCTTTGACTCCTTCGAAGGGAATGGTCCCTCCCTTGATGAGCCGGCAATGGTGAACGTCTCCACCTTCGAGTCCCGACGAAGGATGGGTGACGAGGGTCAGGTCTGATGAGCCACCGTGAGGTAGCCGGTTGCCACCAGAGGTGACTCATTTGGGGCGTGCAAAAAGCAGGTCATTTGCAGATCCTTTGTTTGCTGCATCTTCCAAGTTTCTGCAATCGGTTTCGGATGTACCCGGTGTACCCTCTATGTACATCACAAATGGAGTTCGTGGGTTCAAGCTTCCACATTACGCGGGTCTCCCACGACGAAACTCGGGGGTTGTTCGTCTCGTCTCGGTGGCGCCCCCGATTGACACTCGCGGGAGAGATGATCAAATCGGGGGCGGAGCGTGTCTTCTTCCACGCTGAAGTCAACCAAACAGGGAACAGCCCTGGTGACTGGGCCCATGACCAGGGCGACTCTGGGAGTGAAGTGGTTCAGGTATCCAAGATATCCAGCGATGCTGTCTTAGGCTCTCTTGAGCCAGCCAACATCGGAACTTCCCAAGCTGACCTCTCTCACAGGTTCTGGATCCGGTGCAGTCCATTTCCTGGGTACGAACGGACTGGACTGTGCCCCAAAAACACCAAAGAGGAGGACGGTGTCCGGACTCCCACGAAAGTGGACACAGAGTACGGTCCGTGACCAATGAGAGGATGGTGAGGATGCCTTCTGGAGCACCCCTTGCACAAAGTATGTTTCTCCAAGGCTCGCAGCCATAATGATTCCGATTCCCATTCTCATTGTGAGTCGCCAAAGCAGGGGGGCTTCGGAAGAGAGCCATTGCACAAGACCTTTTCAGATGAGGACCTCAAATTCTACTTAACAATCTAGCGAATAATTCTACTCAACAACCTAAGCGAATATAGTATATATAATGATGGATCTTGGTGGATCCAATACAACCAAATGCTGTGTGAACACCCGAAAAGAGCTGTACATTGTACATTGTACTTTTAAAACGGAAATTGTCCAATTGCTCTCTCTCCAGCGATCCAAGGACTTCTTTGAAGATGCTCCAGCGCTCCTTCCCTTGCCTTTGCCCTATGGCTTGCCCCTAGCGCCCGGGTGAATTCTACTCGAAACATCTCCCCAACGTTGATTGGCCTAACCCAGACGCTCCATGGGACTGCCATATATGCCTACATTGGGGTTATACATGGAGTGTCTGGGTAAGTAGGGCAACCCAAAGCAACACGTTGAAATGCTTTGTCGTTGAAAGTGTTCGTGTTCTAGATATATTCTTCGAGGTTCTTTCGTTGCAGATGCATCCGGGATAGCACGACCTCTCGCCATCCCTGACCTACGTCAGACTGACCCCGGCTCAATTGGAGTTCGTCCGAAGAGAAGGCAACACTCCCAAGAACCGTCCATGTTTCCATCGCAAGCCACGATAATACCCACCTGCTCAGGGAAAAAGCACATGGCAGCAACCCTGAAGCAGCAGTTCGAAGAGAGTTTATTAGTTAACTGGTTGTGCGTTGTGTGTGTGTGTTTGTTTTTATTGTTTTTATATATTATATAATTGTACTTTGTGCAGGTCGACGGTCGGACATACCCAACAAAACGACGTCGCGTCGTTGATCTTTCGCTCGGTCCTCTACTCGCTCTTGGGGGAACGCCGCCAGCGCACCGGTGCAGTTGGTCAATGCCAAAACCCGGTCCCAAGGTGTAATATCCTTTAGATGTCCAAGGTGCGCACCTGGGATTCACAAGAATTGGATATACATCATCCTCATCCCAGACGACTCATGCTACCAGGTGCCTTGCGCCGAGCTGTCCACCATCTCCAGCACTCCCGAGGGGCCCAGCCCCCACGGAGAACGCGAACGCGCGGAGCTGACCGTGCCCGAGAAACGCTCCAATGCACCCTTGCAGCTGCAGGGTCCTGAGGGGAAACCTGGGCCGCAAAGAGGCGGAGATCGCCCGAGCGGAAGGTGTGTTGGGAGAGCGGAAGGTCAGGTGATTGGGGGTGATATACTATTGTGCTACTGCGAAGAGCTGAAAGGCATTAGCAAGAAGGTAGGGACTTGGCAGCATGGAGCTGTGAAACAGAGGCAACTTTTCAAGGCCTGATCTACCAAACCAAGGGCCGGAACTGCTGAGGTTTCAAGTGAGGCTTGGGCCATGCTGTTTGACCTACAGGTCACGGGGTGAGACGTTCACACCATTGAAAAACATTAAATCACCTCCTCAAGCAGAGGTTGAACAGCCACCTTGGTTTCTTTTGGTTCTGCGGTTGGCCCGTTGCATACACAGGTGAATGTCCCGTCCAAAGAGTGCACCCGTTTTCAACCACCCCAACTGGTCGGTTGGCACTCCCATTTGTCGTGTTTCGGTTTGTACTCACAGTTTGTTGCCACTCCACCAAACAGCGGGGATAGACCTTGTGACCATGGAATGTTAAACGTTTCGTCGCTGACGTGCTTGGACCGCCAGAGTCTATTACCCATGGAAGTCTTGTATGAGAGAGATGATCAGATTGATGTATTATCATGGCTGGTTTGAGATGATTGAAGATGCATCATAAGAGAAGATGATATTGTACAATTATATTATATAGGTGTTGTATTGCTGCTTCAGCTGTCCGGCCATCAAGAACGATCATCATCCCTTGCAGAAGTTCCCCAATTTGAGACGCAGCAGACTCTGTCACGATCCTCAAGACCTGACACTGGTGCGTCGCACCCAGGGTCTGGTTGCGTCGCTGTTCAATCTTGGCTCAAGATCAGTTGACCCGTATGTCCGCATCGGCCGGGCTCGGTGTTGACCGGGTAAAGCCATGAAGTCTTTGTCCTCGGGACGACGACGCTCGCTGTCCTCCCTGTGGGAGCGTTCCCAAAGCTTGCCGGTGCGGAGGAATCGGATCTCCACCCATGGAGCCATTGCCATGCATGAAATGGTCAATCCGGCGAGGTGGGAAGCGAGGTGAGCACCCATCGAATGCGAATCTAATGCTTGTTGTTCGAAGCAAAACGGTGGTGACCTCCCCACCACAAAAGCTTCTATATGCGGGATAGTACGGGTCCTTTTTGGGAGAGGATGCAAGTGGCCACTCCTTTTGGTGGGACACACTTCAAGACTTCATGGGAAGTTTGGCAGTTTCCTGGACGTTAGGAGTGGTGTGTTTAGCTCACCAGATGTAGAGAAGTAGAGGGTGCTTAAGCTCTGTTGAATTGGAAGGCCAGCAGACCTATTCAGGGGCTTGTGGATATGACAGAGGCACCCCAAGGCCCCTTAGAAGGCACCACCGCGAGCGTTGAAACTGGAAATGAGGTGTCAACCCTTCAAAGCCATCCTGGATTGGATGTGTGCCAAGACAACCTCAGATTTTTTGTATGCACATGCACAGATTAGCAACATATTAGTTGTCAGTAGTCTTTGGGAGTTTAGCCAGGAGTAGTCGTTCTTTGGGATGGTGTCAGCATCATGGGTATGAGTTTGCTTCCCCTCACAAGGTGGTGCATCACCTTCGCTGACCTCAAGTTCTTCGAGTCTGAGGTGCAACAGGCCATCGACGAGGGGAGCTTCCCGGAAGTGCACCAACCCGAAGGGCCCAGCATCTATTCGGTGAATGAACACTACATCAAGCCTGTGACTGAGAGCGCGGGGAAAATGAGTTGGGCATTGATGATGAACCCTGATGGGCTTGACTGCGATTTATTTGTGACCCATGCTTGGCAGGAGGACGTTTTTGAGTTCACCGAGAAAGTCTTAACATCCTGGCCTCATCGTGCACGTCATGCTTGGTGCTGTATGCTGGCCAATCCGCAAAATCTGGATATCGCCGCCTTGCTTCAGTCCCCATCTGTGTCTCCATTTGCCATTGCCCTGCAAAATGCCAGTTACATGCTGGTGGTTCCCAACCGCCATGAAAGTGTCTACACAAGGTTGTGGTGTGGATATGAGGCCTACTTAGCTTTTCAAAGCAACAAAATTATTCGCACTGCAACTCCTTCGATCGGGCGGCAAGTGGTATTTGCTTGGCTTTGGATGTGTCCAGCACTGGCAATAGGTCATGCGGTGGGGATCGTGTCTAAGGTGAAAGGCCTGGAAGTCGCTCTGAAGTTAATCGGTGTCATGAAAATCTTCGCTCTCTTGGCGAGCTTGGTAAGCCAAAATTGCGGTCAGATCAAATTGTGCCTCATTGCAAACCACGTGGGCCTCGCAAGTGGTGTGGCCACCGTGATTGGATGCATACTCCCGCTTTCTTTCTCGCCACTTTTTGCGGAACAAGAGGGGCGGGTGATAGCAAGTTTTGGATACATTTTGTTGGTTGGATATTTCTTGCTTGCTGAAGTTGACCGAGTCTACTGGCAAGCAGAAGAGCACGAGACAGAGCTGCTGCAACATCAATATCGGGGATCCATTCGTCAGGCGTCATGCTCAGAAAGCCAAGATGAGATTAACATTCGGAACGAAATCGGCGAGCATTTTGACGAGGTTGACAAAGTGATTCAAGTTCTGATGAAAGCTGGTATGACGTCCAACGCACTTCGAGAAGCATCTCTGCAGGGGGTGGAACTTCGTCATGCTGGAGTGGTTCAATTGGCGATTCCCATACTTGAGCTTGGTCCTGGGTGGCTTTTGGGTTGTTGGAACTTGGGCCGATACTTCTTCCTGCCTTTTGATGATCCAATACCCCAAACTCGTGGGCTCATGGCATCCTTGCAAATGGCATCAGTCCTAGCCAGGTTGATGTTTGTGATTCTTTTGCTTCACCGTTCCATTGATGAAAGATGTTTCATGCTCAATGTGATGGCAAAGATGGTTGCTCCCATTTATTTCTGCTATGCCACCTTCAGTCTGGATTTTCATCGAGCCGTCTATTTGACGGTCTTCTGTTTCTACCACCTGGCCTTCGTGCTGGTCCTGTTCTTCGCTTTGCTGGGCATTCGTGGCACCCTCCGATTGCCCTGCGGCACCGTGTTGGCAGAAGTCTTCCTGTCCCGGATCTTGAGATGCGGCTGTGGCGGTGATTCGTCGGACGGCGTCTCATCATCCGAAGGAGGCGAGGCTCCTTCGGAGGCTTCAGAGTCCGGCAGTGGGAGCTGAAAAATGGTTTCAGAGATGGAAGTTCATGGAAGCTCATGTCAGCATATGTCAGCCCCATGAACCCCATGTAAGCTTATAGATCCAATATTCCTTCGGATTCTGAGCAAATATCAGCAAGCCTATGCAAGCCCCCGGGGTCCTTCGAACAGGGTCGTCCACCCGACGCTCTTCCCTACCCTACGGTCGAGGCGCTCGTCGATCGCCTAAGATGGTGGAGAGAAAGGTGGCGGTTTTCATGGTTGATCAGGTTGATCTTCACGAGTTCGATTGAATGGCACCCGCGGCAGATTCCCATAGGTTACTAGTGGTGGAGAGTTGTTCTCCCTATCATGCTGGAGAAGTGATGGAATAGGACCTTGAATAGGACCAGTTAAAACGCCGGGGACCTCGACCATTCCTCACACATCCGCATGGTTTGCTGGAGAATACTAAATCATCTAAATCACTTCCCGGCAGTTCTGCCCTTTTGGGGCCCCCATGCTCGCGAATGAATGAAGGAACGTTTCATGGATGTTCGCTCATTTGGTGGTAGATCTTCATATATATAGATCTTCATAAACTCTAGAAAGATCACAACAGTTTCTGTAGATCCACCACTTAGAACACTGAAGTTCAGTGGCCCCCCTGCATCAAAACCCCTAAAGACGCAAAGACTCGCGACCTGTCTGGGACCTTCGGGTGAGAACAACCCGCGACCTGTCAGCCGCCCGAGGAAGGAGCAGATCCACTGGAAAGTAGATGCTCGGAAGTTGGAGTCCCAGGAGAAGCAGATCTTATCGCCAGAGTCTGGGATGCCCAGGGGCGAAACGCGCGAAAAGCATGGGCATTATACATATTATACCGTACCAGCTTCAAGTTGTGTAATACAAAATACACAGGGAATAAACATGAATAAACCAAAGGGAATAGTTCTTTTACTTCTACATCTCTTTGGCTACCAACCAAGTTCATCCGCGATTACATGCGACAACTAAAATGACATGGAAGAATAAGATATGTGTGCTATTTGAAGTATTTTGACGTTATTTGATTGCTTTTGTTTTATCACGCACTGGAGGTGCCCCCCAACCCATCCATCGACTGAGCCCGGGTACGAGTGGAGGTGTCCCATGTTGAGGATCTGAACTTGGTGGAACGACAGCACTTCTGGCGCCCAAAGTAGGGGCACATCTGGCGCAGGTTTCAGTTGCTTGGTACCTGCCATGCCTGGACACCCTAGATGGGTGGGTGTTTGGAGCCCTCCACAGGGTGGTCAACAAACTCAACAAAACGCCCCCTGACCACCAATTAGCACCCTCGAAAACGCTATCCTGGTATATCGGAGTAACTGTATACGTATACTATACTGAATAGTAAGTTAGGACTTAGGACTTGTCGAACAGTTCCTGATGGGATAAAGAAATCGAATTAAGACGTCCCACTGTTCTCCCTGATTGATGTCTACTGATTGAACCTCAGGAAGAAACCATTCACTGAATACCTACTGAGCCCTCCCCCCTGAGGTTTGAGCTCACCCTGCCTGGCGTGGGCCCCACGCCCTTCCGATTGATGATCTTGGCGAAGGAGACCCGAGGTAAAGGACCCCCCGCACGTGTGATGCGCACGGTACGTGATTCCCATGTTCGGCCATTGGTGCATTCAAAAGGCTGCATGATTAACGTGAATTAACCATGGGGTTCAGTGGTCTCGTTTTTTTGCGGGGTTCAGTGATCTCAGTCAGTTCTTGCATGTCAAATCATAATGAGTCCTAAGAGCTGCTGGTGACTGTGCCGGGCTCGAAGCAACGCTTCCGGAAGGATGCCGCGGGTTCTTGAAGGCGAAGGGCCGTGGGCGACTCTTCCTGAAGCATGGAGCTCAGAGGGGGCGACTCTTCCTCAAGCTTGCTTGCTAGTTGTGTTCAGGCACTCCATGGACTTCGGAAGGTATATAGGACTCCGGACTGAGTGACGGACTCTTGATTCACAGAATTTGCCAGAACCTCTCTCCTTTGGGATTGAACAAGCTCTCCAAATGGGTGGCCTTTATTACTGATCAAGAGTCTACATTAGGACCGGTTTTGCCCTCCTATAAGTAATCGTCCCCATCCCACCGAAAGAACTGGAGCTGGGGGCGGAGGTTTAGGGTAGTTGACAAATCAACTTCTGTGACTCCA